AACATAAATCATACTTAGAAAATTTCAACATAGAAAAATATTATAAGCTGTACTAAATATTGCTTCAATAGCAATCATACAACATATAAGTGTAACAAAATAACATACATATACCTTAAATTTATAAAATATAACATGGCAAATTTATCAAATAAGAAAATAATAATAATTTTTTAAAATTTTAGAAATATTGGGGAGCCTGGGTGTCTCAATCAGTTAAGCATCCAACTTCTGCTCAGGTCACAATCTCGAGGTTTGTGAGTTCGAGCTCTGCATTGGGCTCTGTGCTGACAGCTCAGAGCCTGGAGCCTGCTTCAGATTCTGTGTCTCCCTCTCTCTCTCTGCCCCTCCCCTGCTCCTGCTCTGTCTCTCCTAAAAATAAATAAGCATTAAATTTTTTTTTAATTTTAGAAATATGGTTACAGTACTCAAGAGATAACATGAAATAAAATCCACTTCAGAAATGAAGACTAATCTAGAAAGAAAAGAAAAACAAATAGACACAATAATGAAAGCGTCAACAGAAAGAAGTTAAAAAGAAAATTTTTAAAAGAAAAGAGAAATGAGAGAGAATTCAAAAGAAAATGACAAATACTGAAGATACGGAAAAAGGAAAAAATCTAATATGTAAATGATGGAATTTCTTAAAAAGGAAAACAAAAGAAAATACTAAAATATATAACTCAATAAAACATTCCAAAGATTAAAAAAAAAAGTTGAACCATATATTGAAAGACTATATGGCTTATTTGAGAAACTTATCCAGATGACCAAAAACCAAGATATATCCTAATAAAATTTTTGGACATTAAAGAAAAAGAAAATGCTACTTAGGCATCTCAGCAAAAACAATAACTGACTTAATAATTAGATTATCATCAGACTTTTGGTAGCAATGTTATGTGAAAATGAAGTAACATTATTAAGGTATCCAAGAGCAGAAAATAAAACAAAGGTTTTTATAACCAACAAAACTGAATGGAAGTCTATTAAATATAAAGACTTCCCTGAGCTCTTCTTAGGGAAAGAGCTTCAAACAATCACAATGATTATATCAGTAGTCCACCATTTTTGGTATCATGGCCCCTTTGCATTCTTAAGAATTACTGAGAACTCCAAAGAGCTTTAGTTTATATAGGTTATGTCAAGCGATATTAATCACTTTAGAAATTAAAACTGAAAAACTTTTAATATTTCTTTGTTGAAAGAACAGTGATAAACCCATTATATATTAATATAAATAACATTTATAAAAAGTAGCTATATTTTCTAGCACAAAAATATGGTGAGAGAAAATGAATTATTTTACATTAAAGGAATCTTTTTAATATCTCACTCAGGAATGATTCACTTGGTCATGTACTCTTCTACATTCAATCTGTAATATGTTATTTTAGTTAAAATGCATGAAGAAAATGTGGCCTCACTCAGATATGTAGTGGGAAAGAGGGGGAGAATTTTAATAACCTTTCAGCTATTGTGTATTCTTCTTTGATAAGATATTACAACTCAACAAATGGTAAATCTTTACAAATCAGTTGTAATGTGGAATCTGAAATCTTATCAGTGGTCTTTTCATGTTATGTTATGTTAAAATTCATTGGTCTACCTTGCACTTTGAGTGGACCTTCTATTAATGATAATTTTGCAGTATTACACATTGATCATTTGGAACGGGGTTCACATGGTTATGTGGATCTCCAAAATTTTGACACAGTTCACTAAACAATATGAAAAATCATATTTGGTAATATCACCATCAATCTCATCCAAAAATCTTTATTTTTTTTAATGTTTTTTATTTATTTCTAGGAGAGAGAGCAAGACAGCGTGAGCATGGGAGGGTCAAAGAGAGAGGGAGTCACAGACTGAAACAGGCTCCAGGCTCCGAGCTGGCAGTCAGTACAGAGCCCGACGCGGGGCTCGAACCCACAAACCGTGAGATCATGACCTAAGCGAAAGTCGGACGCTTAACCGACTAAGCCACCCAGGCGCCCCCAAAAATCTTTATTATGGGGAAGCTCTGGCAAACACAAGTTTTCCAAAATTTTTATTTCCTCTGGAAAATCAAATTTTCACTGTCAATATCCTTTTATTTGAAATGGAATTTCTCTTTTATTTATTTTTGAAAAAATGTCTACCAAATACCTAAGGCCAAATAACCATAATGTGTCTGTCAGTCATTTTTTCAAGAAAAATGACAGACCATTAGAAAAAGAAGAGGTGGCTAGTTTCACCTACAACTCAAGCAATTACACAGTGCTTTTCCATAAAGTAAATGCCTTCCCATGACTTTGCAGGAGAAATGCTAGTTTGTCACACTATATATTAAAAAGGTGCCTACTTGATATTCAAGAGTTGGTAAAAACTAATGATTAATTATTGCTTCATCAAGGCTATCTTTAAGTGAAACTGGCATTTTTGAGAATTTTTCACTGCAAGTGCATGGCAATCAAGAATATCATGACTACTTAGGCAGAGAAGGACAAATACCATATGTTTGCATGTATAGGAAGATTAGAAGAAACTTAACAGAGGACCATGGGGGAGAAGAAGGGGGGAAATAGTGCGAGAGAGGGAGAGAGGCAAGCCATGAGAGACTCTTGAATGCTGAGAACAAACTGAGGACTGATGGGGGTGGGGGAAGGGGGGGATGGGCATGGAGGAGGGCACTGTGGGGATGAGCACTGGGTGTTATATGAAAACCAACTTGACAATAAACTATTTGGAAAAAAAAAAGAATATCATGACTACTTATATACAGGGTTTTTTTTTTAGATGTTAACTGAATTTATTGTGATCACTTTCTAATACATACAAATATTCAATCATTACATTGTACACCTGCAACACTGCAACGTGATGTCAGTTACACATTAACAACATCAGCAACAACAGTGGTGATGATGATGAGGGACAGTTCATTCACAACACTGGCGCAGGTCTTAGTCACAAGTATCACGGGCCCAGATGTGAATTGCAGGCATTCTCTAAAGCACCAAAAGTTTTACCCACTGTAGGTTTTGCATCATCGATACAAATACAGTGAAAACAGTTAATAAGGTCTTATTATTATTATTATAAAAATAGTTTTGACCTTTCAGACTTCCCAAAAGGGTCTCAAGGACCTCCAGGAGTCCTTCGACCACAACAGGAGTACCACTGCGCTTGAAGGACACTGACATAAGGAATAGTAGTCATCATGAAACATGTTATCACTCACAGAACTGAGACTAAAAAGGGAGTGGGTATCCTCTGTAATGGCATATGATCCATAATATAAAAATATAGGACAACTATAAAAAGAAAAGATGAGGAGGAGAACAGAGGCAAAAGGTATATTAACTGTTTTCAGTGATAATGTTGGTGGTTGTAGTATATCATTATCCTCAGACTGCTGTGTGTGTTCATTCAGGAAAAGCAAATGAGTACAGGTGGATAATCTAATTGTATGTCTCCTCGAGTGTTTGAAAACCAGAACTCTTGATGTGGAAGAAAGGAGACACAACTGTAATATAGAAGAGATTAATTTTTTATTTGTCTATACATAAACTCTGTGCTTCTATAAATATGAACATTGCATATAAAAATTTATATTTCCACCAAAAAGTCTTGATATAATGATGAATTCCTAACTCCAGATTATGGTCTTAGTGACATTTCCCACTAAAATAAGCCGGGGCTTTCTAAAACAATAGCTGATTGCAAGTCTGAGCAGGAAACATACAGAATAAACCTGGAACATCTTTGCATACAGATAACAAAGAAATGATCAAAAGACTTATGTCAAAAGGACTCAAGAGCAACTTGAAGACTTTTCCATGCACCTAAGATATGATTGAACTCATGGCTAAAAACTGCCATGAGTTAAAATCCCTCAAATACATTTAAATCCTTAAATTTATAATGATACAAAAAATAAAGGTAAAAAGTAAAACCTAATTGCCCATCTTTGGAAAATAGTAGAAAACAAATTCATTAACCTGAAAATTAATGAAGTGAAAGAGATAAAACACTGATCCTTTCTTTCCACTGTATCACTGGGCAACCCACCAGTAAATGAAGAGAAGTGTCTCTTTACAGAAGCAATAAAGCATATAAATGAAGAAGGAATGATAGAATTAGGTCATCCCCATTCTACAATCTATAACTCCCAGTGAATTTAAGGGCCTCAGCAATGAGCACCAAAGGTGACTCCATCATTAAAAGAGACAAAATGGACAGTTTGTGCCTCATGGTAAAAAAAAACACACCTCCACCTACAGACTCACCAAGAAATTAAACCTGTCTATCCAGCCTCTGCATCCATTTGCCAACTTGCAGGAAACACAGAGCACAGCAGGGCATGCCAAACGGCACCATGTGCATGCAATCAGTAAAATCTAGACTATGGAAAACTCTGTAGGTCAAATGGCTCAGGCTTTTCAACATATTAATCATAAGGGGGGCAAGGAGGATGGAGAGAAATAGTAAAGTATGAGACATAAAAGACAACTAAGTTGGGGCACATGGGTGGCTCAGTCAGTTGAGTGTCCAACTTCAGCTCAGGTCCCAATTCATGAGTTCGAGCCCCATGTTGGACTCTGTGTTGACAGCTCAGAGCCCGGAGACTGCTTTGGATTCTGTGTCTACTTCTCTCTCAATCTCTCTCTCTCTCTCTCTGTCCCCCCACCTCCTTCCCCTGCTTGTGCTCTCTCTCTCTCAAAAATAAATAAATAAACATTTTAAAAAATATTTAAACAGTGATTACTCTAACAGAATGCAATTACTTTTTTCTAAAGTTTATTTATTTTGAGAGAGAAAGAGGGAGAGAGAGAGAGAGAGCGCGTGCACAAGCGGGGGAGGGGCAGAGAGAGGGAGAGAGCAGGCTCTGCACTGTCAGCACAGAGCCCAAGGTAGGGCCCAGTCTCAGGAACGATGAGATCATGACCCAAGCCAAGAGTGGGACGCTTAACCAACTGAGCCCCCCAGGCCTCCCAGAATATAATTATTTTTGAGAGGAGGGAGAAGAGGTTGCTTGGCATAAAGTACATGGAAACTCCTGCCCTTCCTGGTAAAGTTCTATTTCTTGACCTGAGTGGTGATGACAGGAGTTTTGCCTTAAATAATTAATTCTACATTTTGTGTGGTTATCTGTATCTCAGTTTTATTTTACAATATAAAGTTCATAAAACAGTGAAAAGGAAATTGTGCCTCTAGCATTTGTCTTCTGGAAACAGTGGAGAGCGCAGTTGGAAAGAGGAAGACATGCAGATAACTCACAAAGTTAGGGCTGGACCATAGGAGGTACATAGGTTAGGGCTGGTGGGAGTCAGCTTTGGGGGGAATTTCTGCATTTCTGCACACTGTCCTTGGAAATGGGGACTAATGGAACATGCAAGGAGGAGGAAGAAGGACAGAAGCATGAGAGATGATCTCAGAACACAGAACTCTAGAATCAGGTCAGGTCTCCTCCAAGGACTCATTAGAAGTAACTCCAGAACACAGACCTCATGAGAGTGTTTCACTCAATCATTCGGACTCAAGTCATTCAGTGCTATTTCAGTCTCCAGGGCAAGAAGCTCCGATTGGGACCTTAGCACGGCTCTGGTGAGGGAACTGCTCTTGAGACCTGCAGGAGCAGTGACCCAAGTTGCAGGAGGGACTCCACCCTCCCATTTCAGAAACTCAGCACCCAGACCACCCAGCCAGAGCCACCCTCACACCCTACCCTCAAGACCTCTCCCTCTGGCCAAAGCACTGGGACAACAATTGGCCACCCAAAGAAAAGGAAGAAGACATTACCTCATCAGCAGACAACTGAGTCTTCACATATCCTGGAATGAGAGGAAAGAAATAGAATGCCCCCAGTTAGGACCAAATGTTGTGATGATCCTGAAGGGTAGGGGATGAATTGAACTATCAGAACTCCAGTTCTGCTGACCCTCTGAGATGTTTCTGGCTTCAGAAAGGACTATCCTGTTGATCGCTGAGAAGCACAATCACCTTTCCCTGCCTCGTATCTTTGAAGTTAAGGGAAGTGGGAGAGGCTATGGGGCAGGTGGCAGGGGACTCCAAAGAAGCTCATTACCTTTATGAGCCCTGAGGCAGATGACAGTCCCCACCAAAAGGAAGATCAGCCCAAGCAGGAAAGCTGCAATTCCACTTAGCATCTTTCTCCAAGAATATGCAGACTGAGCTCCTATGGGAAACAGGTCTTAAAATTAGTAAAAAGCTCCCAATGTTTGGTGGGAGCCTTCCTGAAATCCCAGAGCCCATACTGGACACCAAATCAAATGCTATCTAGAGAAGAAATACATTTAGAAATGGTTCTTTGAAGCCAAGGTTTGCACCCATGAAGTTTCTGCTTCTGAATCTTGCAGCCTGTAAGAATGCCCCCTAAAATACTAAGACAAAGTATTAGAGGATACTAGATCCCAAAGTTGGAAATAAGTGATGAGGTGATTAGATCTCTTTATTTCTTGGCAAATAATAGATATCTGTCATGTTTTCTCCCACCGTAACCCAAGGACCTCAAATTCCATGACTCCTCAGATCAGGGGAAAGAAGAATGAGTATTGGGATCAATATGAATGCAGAGGTAACACAGGCTGTGGGCTGAGTCAACATCACCCTGTGTCTGGCCCAGAGAGCACAAGAAGCTGATTCTCACTCCACTCCACAGAAATAGGGCTCAGCAGGCTGGGATGATTAACAAGGCAGGTGTAGACATCTCCAAGTTCAGGAGTCATTTCCAGCATCACCATTGTCTGAAAGGTCCAGTCTCCATTACTGATAAGGCCAGTGGACATCACCCCCACTCTCTCCTGCTGCCCATTCCGGAACCATCTGATCTTGATGTCCCCTGGATAGAAACCTGTCACAGAGCAAAGCAGCATATTGTGGTGCTGCAGGGATGGGGTCTTCTCTGGATACACCGTCACCTCTGGTTGCACTGGGAAGGGAGAGAAAAATGAGACATTATGAAGGAAAACCACTATGCCAGGACAGAGGTTCCTTGAAAGACAATCTCTGCCCCTAATCTTCTCACATCACCCAAGTGAAAAATGGAAATGTGGGGAAATCTCTGCCCCCAAGACTCAGAAACTGGGTATGTCAATGCCCCAAGGATGAGTTGCCTTGTCAGATACTCCCACAATTACCCCCTCTATTTGAGAGCCCACTAGTCTTTAAAGTCTCTGAGAATTTGCGGGGGTCTGGGACCAAGACCATAGTGACCTGGCCTGTGAGAATAATGAATGAATCACAACTGGGGCCAGAACGTATACAGACTCCCCTTCTTACAAGTCATTTATCCTGAAGTAGGAAATTGCCCATCATAAGGAAGTAGTGCCCATGATCATGTTCACATGTAGGAGATTCCTGAACCCCACCAGACCTCACCTTTCATCTCACCTTTTCTCCCCACTGTGAAAGGTGCACCCAGCTTGTAGTTATGCCTGCAGAGTGTATCCACAGAAGCTCTAATCCTCTCTAATATATCTGGCCGATTGTTCCACAGCTCAGCATCAGGCTTCCCCAGCTCTGTCAATGCCACAAACATTCCCACATCACTGTCGAAATGTGCATACTCTTCCAAGTTAAAAATGAATCTCACCACAAACTGCACCTTCTCTGTCCCATTGGTGAAGTAACAGTCAGCCTTTGCCTGAATCACAAAATCTTCTGGAAAATTAAAAAAAAAAAAAAAGACTATAAACCTACCCTCCCTTTTAGGAACCCATTCGTGGTAAATTATGCCAGACCATATGTATTTGACAGGAGGCTACTTCAAAGTAGCCTCTTCTCCCCTAGGTCCCACCCTGGTTCTTTTTAGCAAAGACACATCCATCATGGAAAGCAGCCTGAGACCCATCCTACAGGGCCAGCCACACAGAAGATGTATAATCCAAAAAAGGCAAGCCAAAAGGAGAGTCCCAAGAGACATAAACATTCATTCCATAAATATTTGTTGACCATTTGTGTTTTGCTGTCACTGTGCTTGGTTTCTCCAAGCCAAGCTTTCAGAAGCCCAAGACTTTAACTCCCTTTGTTATCAAGTCAAAAAGATCCATCCCCATATGGAGTAATTCAACAGTACTCTTGCCCATAACAGGTTCATTCTATACATTCATTCTGGAGCAGAGTGAAGGAGTGATGGAGGTGGGGAAAGAAATGCAGACTCCATACACGTTTGATGTGAAACTAACTCCCCTTCCACTTTTCACTCACTATGGGTTTTCTCCAAGAATTTCCGTTTGGACCTTTCCCCTTGCACTTTTACTTAGACTTCACCTCTCTGTTGGCTCTAATAAGGTAATGATTTCATTACCTTTGTTAGTGTTAAGTAAAATAATACTAATCCATGGCTCGAAGATTAATACTGCCATCAGCATCATTGGCACTATACCTACCATACCAGTAATTACAACAACATGGTGACAGAAAATATATAGTTAGCTTAAACCCTCTTTGGCAATTTTTACATGAAGTACTGCCATTAAAGGTGTAATAAAAAATCTAATTCCATGGTCCATTATGATTTTCTACTTTCAGAGCACCTTACTAATATTGATAGTGATTAGCTTGAGCTACATATTATTTGATATAATGTCTACTCTGCTCTTCTTTAATGTAATTTAACATTCAAAAATTATGTAATCTGTCCTCATAGGTAAGAAAAAGTATAATTCTTATTTGCTGAACACACAGTGTGCTATGGTCTGAGTGTTTATGCCCCTCCCACCAAATTCTTCTGTTGATATCCTAACTCCCAACGGTGATATTATTAGTAGGATGTGCCTTTGAGGGGTGTTTGGGTCATGAGGGTGGAGCCCTCTCTCATGAATGGGATTAACCTTATAATGGGGGCTCCAGAGAGATCACAAGCCCCTTCCACCACATGAGAACACAAGAAGAAGGTGCCAGCTATGAACTAGAAAGAGAGTTTTCATCAGAACACACCCATACTGAGGTGTCTGGGTGGCTCAGTCGGTGAAGTGTCTGACTTTGTCACGTGATCTCATGGTTTGTGAGTTCAAACCCTCAGTCGGGCTCTGTGCTGGCAGCTCAGAGCCTGGAGCCTGTTTTGGATTCTGTGTCTCCCTCTCTCTTCCCCTCTCCTGTTCACCTCTCTGTCTCTCTCTCAAAAATAAGTAAACATTAAAAAATTAAAAACCAATCAATCAATCAATAAGAACACAGCCATACTGACACCTTGATCTTAGACTCTCTGGCCTCCAGAACTGTGAGAAATAAATTTCTGTTGTTTATAAGTCACCCAGGCTGTGGTATTTTGCTACAGTCATCAGAATGGACTAAGATACAATGATAAGACACAATGGACTAAGACACTTCATAGATTTGAAGATCTGAAAAATCTTGAACAACAAACTGGTAAATGGTCCTGGGTTATGTTTCAGTCGATTTGAGTTCTAGTTCTGTATCTGGTAGTTTTACATAGAACCACTTACACTCCCTGACCTGTTTTCCGCTGATAACAACACTGAAGTAGATCTCAAAAGCATAGTGTTAACAAAGAAAAGAAACAGAATGTGATTCAACACACAATGACATTTATTAAGATTTTAAAATATACATGAAAAAAATGCTAAATATTCTTAAAGGCCATCTCATAGTTAAAGACACATTAGAATGATTCTCTAAGGAAAGGTGGGTGTGGAAATGGAGACGAGGGACGAGGAGGGACTCCTTGCACCGACAAATGATAACAAAGTGCTGTGAATTCATTGGGTAAGATTAATGTGATTCTGTGCACCTGAGAACAATAGTTATAAGAGGAAATTCAAATGGGTTAATAATGCAGGTTGGCCAAAAAAGTCCTCCCTGAAGAAATGGGATGAGTTAAGGCTTCAAAGATAATAGTTACTGATCTGAATTGTAAATTTGCTCTCATTTCTCAACTCCTCCTCTGCAAGCTACTGAGCTGAGCGCTGAGCATAAGGATGACAGCATCCTTCCTGGGTCAGCCATACTCATCTCTTAGTAGCTAAAGTCAGCTCTAACCTCCAATGCTCTTCCTTCTTATGGTTTAAATCAGAAAAAAAATTATTTTTTAGTCAGATTTGTGTCAGATTTAAGATCTGCACTGATTTTTTTTTTCATCTGTGTTGCTTAATGGACATCATAAACTCAGAGAAGTTTCTATTCTCAAAGAACAAAGATCTTCCACCTACCCCACCCTCCCAAGTCTGTTCCTCTTTTATATCTAATGAAACTTTGACATTCAAACAAGTTCTGTTTTTAGTACATTACATCCTGTTTTCTGCTGATAACTATGTTTTCAAGGTGTAATATTGCCTCATGTTTGTACAGCCTATCTTCTCAGCTAGAAAAATAAAAGCAATAAATACATGTACTTAGTAGCCTGAGGATAGCCTGAGGAGGATAATGAATTCAACTTCTCTTATTTCTCAAAACTGCTTAATAAATGCCAAAAGAAGAAAGCTTTGTTTCCAATTTCATTTGTCCATGTGTATCCCAATTGGATAAATATAAAAACAGTCACAATCATCAGAGCAAACTCCTGCCTCAACAAATGGCAGCTATTCTCAGACTGCCTCCAGTTTATATAGTTCTTGAGATGGACATTGATACAATAAGAGTCCTAAGCAAGAAAAAATGTTTCCCTTCTTCCTGTTACCCTACTCCTTGAATCTGCAACCCTGGCACAGGAAGTTCCTTTTCCCAGAAGTCCACTGTGTGTTGTAAAGAGAGGAGGCTTATTTTTCTTCCAAAGGGAAGAATATTTTGAAGCCAGAAGCCAGTTCCAGTCTGGTCTGCAGCCTGTACCCACAGGGAAGGGCATTCCTCCCTCATGCCAATTCTTGTATACACACCTGAAAAAAAAATGTTTGCTCTGTTCTTACCTGGAGAGTCTCTGCCTTGAGTCATGGAGGAATCCAGGCTACTTATACTCACTAGCAGAGCCACCATCCAAAGAACCCACCCAGAACCCATTCTGAAAGAAAAAAATAAATGAGACAGTAAAGTCATCAGCTTCTTCAGAATGGGGCTTACCCCCACAAAACTCAGTCAAAAAAGTAGTTATTAAGAGTATGAATACCTTCCTGGCCACCTCATGGTTGGAGACTCTTCACATTAATAACCAATCACAGTAGAAGAGTTTTACATCATTAGATGCTGGGTAGACTACTTCCATACCACTCAAGAATTGGTTACCTTCTTAATAACAGTAGTTTAAGGTAAACAATTTTTTAATAGTGTATATAATATGTGATTCTAGAAGAACTACACAGATTGTTTTTTATGCATTCTGCTGTCTTCTAACCAGTGAGTCTCTTCCTCCTATGGAGTGGTTGATATTGTCAATGGAGTGTGCAAATAAAGCAGAAAGTAGACACCATTCTGAAGCATTTCCCCTAAGAAGAGTTAATGAAGCAATTATCAGAGAAGAAATAGAAGAGATTGAGAATGACCTGGAGAATATGATTTCCCATAAACCAAGGGTCATAAAAAACAAAATGAAGAGAGGATTCTCAAAAGAACAAAATGCTGCAAAACATGTTCCAGAGAATAAAATATAAGAAGCATTATTGTGTTATATAATTAGTGGAGCACCGATAACCTTCACTAGGACATAAAGTGTTAAAGGTAGAAACTATATTTCAAAAGAGCAAATTGGAAATGAAGGCAACAGATATAAATAGTCCTTCAAGAGTGTTGGAAGTAAGTGACACTTGGGTGGCTCAGTCGGTTAAATGTCTAACATTTGATTTTAGCTCAGGTCATGATCTCACAGTTTGTGAACTTGAGCCCGGCACTGTCAGCATGGAGCCTATTTGGAATTCTCTCTCTCTCTCTCTCTCTCTTCTTCCCTCTCTCTCTGCCCCTCCCCAGCTCTGTCTCTCAAAATAAATAAATAAACTTTAAAAAAAAGTGTTGGAAGTGAAAACAAGGGAAAAGATGGGATTCAAACTTGAGCAAGAAGCCACACTAAAGGAAAATTATGTATAAGAAAGACCTTAACAGCTACTTGGATGATGAGTGTTAAGGAGGGCACTTGTTGGGGCACTTGGGCGGCTCAGTAGGTTAAGCATCCGACTTCGGCTTAAGTCATGATCTCAGTTTGTGAGTTCAGGCCCCGCTTCGGGCTTTATGATGACAGTTCAGAGCCTGGAGCCTGCTTCCGATTCTGTGTCTCCCTCTCTCTCTGACTCTCCCCTGCTCATGCTCTGTCTCTCTCTCTCTATCTCAAAAATAAATAAGCATTAAAATTTTTTTTAAAAAGGAAGGCACTTGCTGTGATAAGCACTGGGTGTTCTATGTAAGTAATGACCCACTGAATTCTACTCCTGAAACTAATATTACCCTGTATGTTACTAACTAGAAATTAAATAAAAACTTGAAACAAGAAAAAAAAAAGACCTTAAGTAGTTTCTCGGTAAAGTGGAAGGTATATGTATATGGGAGAAATCGAAGATAAAAAGAAGAAAAGAGAAATTACCCCCCCCCCAAATTCTTAATGGAATCCAAAGAAGGAGATTGTTAGACTTGGTGATAAAAAGGAACACTTGTTCAGAGAGACTAGAATGAAGACAGAGAGATTGGAAGTGAGAAAGGGAAATGAGGAAGTTCCAGTTGTGTGGCTTCAATGGACTCAGTTTAGGACAAGGGAAAATCTTCTGCTAAAAAGGAATTGGAAGAAAATCCTTTTGACAACTAAGGAGAGAAAGCTGCTTTTTAACCAAAATAGTCTATAAGTACATTATTATTTATTTAGCACAGAGCCATCATCCATGCCTGATACTACAGGCCATGCAGTGATGACACAAAGATGTTCCTTATTCTCAAGAAATACGTAACCTAAGCGGGTGACAAGGAAACAATCCACTGTAATGTCAGGAATCATGAGATTACTTTGTTAATGTTTGGGCCCACAAAAGAGTAGATTTTAACTTAATCTAGAAAGAGTTCATGATAAAGTTGATATCTGATACAAGTGACCTACTAAGCAGAGATTTTTCAAATTTGAAATAACCAGTACATGTTGACAACAGAATGAAGATAAACAGTGAAACGAAAAGTTTATCTGGAGTCCATTTAAAATTTCTGATTATCTGCAATAGATAAATACATGCAAACAACTTAATTAAATGGGAAAAGATACAATATAATTTTTTTTATTCTTCACTTCCCTAAGAGAATACACATAATCTGATGGGTGTGTAAGATAAGATTATGATGGTAGTTGACCGGGACACCCAGGGATACTTGAGTTATGCCTTGCCAAGTATGCTGGGAGTTCCTGAGAAAATTTCTACCCATAAGTAGTAATAGCAAATTGTAAATCAAAGACTGACTCTATTATTAGCTGGTCAAATCTCTGGGTTACCCCCAATAGAAAGTTTTATGGTAAGCATCTATGAAGCTTGAGACCCATGCACAGTCTCATGTTACCTCTTATATACCACTTATACCACTATCAAGCTGTAAATCCTGAAGGATTAAGAATTCGCAAGCATATGAGTAATAGTGTGAGTCCCAAAGGGACTCTGTTCAAGATGGCAGAAATAGGATTCAGAAGAGAGGTGAAATGCAATTATGTAAACTTTATGTACCATGGCCCTGGCACTCTTAGTAAACATGCCCTGTCCTGGAATCTGACCAGTCAAAATAATAATTCCGTCTCCTGGGAGATCATGACAGATAAAGAAAAAGATGGGGAGGTGTGGAAGACCTCACTAGTGCTCACCAACATCCTCTACTTCCTGGGTACATGGAAAACTCTATTTCCTGGTTTCCCAGGGCTATGTGACCAGTTCTAGCCAATGGTTAGTGAACAAAAAGCTCTTGATCAAAGAATTTAACTACCATTTTATGACTCTTCTTCCCTCACCAAGTCAAGCAGGACAACCTTGCATTGAAAGGTGGAATCTGGAATCAGAATATAAAAGCAGTCTAATTAGCTGAGTCATCATGAAGAGTAAAAGCCCTTAGACAATCACCCAAAACCACAACAGATGCTACATGAATAAGACATAACTTTTGCTTGGTTAAGGCTCTGAAGGTTGTTACCACAGCCAAGGCTAGCTTAACCTAACTAATAAAGGACAAGAACAAAAACATTGACCTGCCCCCTCCATGTCCCTCAGGTAGATTTGAATATTAATGAATTGGTACCCTGAGCCCAGGCCAAAACTGGTAGACTCCATACACGGAGCATCTGACCCATGACTGTCGGTACTTCTAGAAGTAAAATGGTTGCACTGCTCCCATCTGGGGGGCATGTGTGGAGCTGAGTAAAAAAGTGACAATCAGAAAGAGCTCAAGCCACTGAGTTTTAACTTCTTCCCTTCTTCCTACCTACACTTACCTTAATCTTTCCCATGTATTTTATCTCATACGGAAGCAGAGAAAAACATTTTACTTCAAGCTAAGTGAATGAGAACATGACATGGAGATTATCCCAAGCAGCAAAATCATGAGAGGGTGGAAGAGGCTTAAACCCAAGTCTGTTTACTCTCCCTCTGCAGGCAATGCTGTGTCCAGGCTTCCTATCTTGATGTGTTTTTGTTTTCAATTTGCACTAGATTCTATTGTAAGCAGAATATTGTAAATATTTTAAAGGATTTTTGCATCCATAAGTAAATTCATCTAAAGTTTTTATTTTGGTGCATTTTCATCGTTTAACATTGATATTATACTTCATTAAAAAAATACATTTGCTGCAGTTGAACCATTTAATTAGGATTAGAATTCCACCTCCTTCGTTTTTCTTTAAAGATATTATTATATTGACCTATATATCTGGGCCCGGAGCACTTTTTGGGGTAGCTCTCTTACAAGTTTTTCTGTTTCTTCCTTGGAAATTATTCCATCTTTAAAGAGATTGGTTTGGGTATATTTTTCAAACAAATTATTCATTTAATCTAAGTTTTCAAGTTTATTTTAACAAAAGTGAACAAAATAATTTCTTATTATTTCCCCCATACATGTATTAATTTTGTCCTTATCATCTCTTATTTTCTCTACTTTTGTCTTGGCTAGGTTTGTCAGTGGTTTATTTTAGTGAAATTTTTTAAGCTTTGAATTTATTCTGTTTCCCTTTTCTAAGTCTTCATTTCTGCTTTTATTTTTATTATCTGTTCCTGTTTTCATGTGACTGATGTGTTGTTCCTTTCACTTAAGTCATATGGTTTCATTCTTTCCTTTAATTGATGAAGGCCATGAATTCTCCACTGAGCACTGCCTTCGTTATTTCACAACTTTGAAATGTAATGTTTAATTATAATTTTTCTAGAAACTTTTTGTTTTTTTTCCCTCTGATCAAGAAAGAGACAGTTTAAGTTTTCATGTGGAGAAGTATTTATCTTTTCTGATTTTTTAAATAATTATCCAGTTTGTTCCATTATGGTCAGAGGATAGTATCAATAGCATTTCTACTTTTAGGAATTTATTAAAGCTTTTTGTGCCATAATATGTAGTACATTTTCATTAATGTCCTGCTGGAACTTGAAAAGATGTGCTATTTTTTGTGAATAAAGTTTAATGTAGATCCATCAGATCTAATTTCATACTGTTGAAGTATCTTCTCTGATCATACTTATTTTTGTCCACTGAGAAAAGTAAATTAAATGTGCTAACACTAGTACATTTCTGAATAGTTTCCTTATATCTCCCTTAATTTCAAACTTATGAGAGTTGCTTGTGTGCTATTTAGAACTTAAAAGTATATCTCTTATATATGCATTATGGATTTCACACTTTACATTATAAAGTGCCTTCTTGTCTCACTCAAGTTTTTTCTGTTTGAATTTCTTCTGTTTAATAATAGTATCATGACCTCTGCTCTGCTTCCTTTATGTTTACATTCTCCCATGCCTTTCCCATAGTTTATTTTTTGAATAAATGAGTGGACCTTTCTGAGTCACTCTATTTTAGGTGTTTTGAGGTTTTTGTTTGTTTGTTGTTTGTTTATGTATATTGCAAACAGCAGAGGTTTTTCTTTCAATCTAACTCAAAAGTATTTTTATTTTATATATCAGTA